TCTGATCTACCTCTGGGTATTAAGTAAATAGAGTAAGCATGCTAAGTTAATAATTATGATAAGCAATGGTGCCTCTTTCAAAATTGTAAATTGTGAATTTCATGGCCTCCGGTTTAAACACGAATCAAATTTAATTTAATTGAAAGTTGTTACACAATACTCAGGTGACCTATAAGGCCCGTGGTCCTCTTGTTACACACCCAAAAACATTTCAAAGGAACAAAAAGAGAACACGCGATTTTGTTTTTTCTTCAAAAAATATCTTTTTAACAAAATATCTTTAGAATTAAGATGAAAAGTTTGGAAGAATAAGGTATTCCACACATATTTACCGTGAACAAACTTGACATTTTCTTCTTGAAAATAAAAACATTAAATAAATGCATGCAACAATGCGATTGTTAGCTCTACTGGTCAGAGACCAGAAGAGCTTATGCGATAGTAATGCGTCCGTCGTCCGTCCGTCTGTCTGTCTGTCTGTCTGTAAACAATTTTTCAAAATGCTACTCCTCCTACAGTTTTGGTCCGATTTCAATATAACTTGGCACACAAGTAGACTACACTAAGATACATAATTTTGTGCATCAGTTTTTGATTTCGATGAACGGTGTTGCCGTGGTTACTAAAAATAGAAATTTCTTTGAAATTCTTTCAAAATGCTACTCCTCCTACAGATTTGGTCCGATTTCAGTATAACTTGACACACAAGTAGACTACACTAAGATACATAATTTTGTGCATCAGTTTTTGATTTCGATGAACGGTGTTGCCGTGGTTACTAAAAATAGAAATTTCTGTGAAATTCTTTCAAAATGCTACTCCTCCTACAGTTTTGGTCCGATTTCAGTATAACTTGGCACACAAGTAGACTACACTAAGATACATAATTCTGTGCATCGGTTTTTGATTTCGATGAACGGTGTTGCCGTGGTTACTAAAAATAGAAATTTCTGTGAAATTCTTTCAAAATGCTACTCCTCCTACAGTTTTGGTCCGATTTCAGTATAACTTGGCAAACAAGTAGACTACACTAAGATACATAATTCTGTGCATCGGTTTTTGATTTCGATAAACGGTGTTGCCATGGTTACTAAAAATAGAAATTTCTGTGAAATTCTTTCAAAATGCAACTCCTCCTACAGTTTTGGTCGGATTTTGATATAACTTGGCATACAAGTAGACTACACTAAGATACATAATTCTGTGCATCGGTTTTTGATTTCAATGAACAATGTTGCCATGGTTACAAAAAATAGAAATTTCTGTGAAATTCTTTCAAAATGCTACTTCAGTATAACTTGGCACACAAGTAGACTATACTAAGATACATAATTCTGTGCATTGGTTTTTATTTTGATGAGTGGCAAGGATCATTTTTAGCTCTACTGGTCAGAGACCAGAAGAGCTTATGCGATAGTAATGCGTCCGTCCTCCGTCCGTATGTCTGTCTGTCTGTCTGTCTGTCTGTCTGTCTGTCTGTCTGTCTGTCTCTCCGTCTGTAAACAATTTTTCAAAATGCTACTCCTCCTACAGTTTTGGTCTGATTTCAATATAACTTGGCACACAAGTAGACTACACAAAGATACATAATTCTGTTTATCGGTTTTTGATTTCGATGAACGGTGTTGCCGTGGTTACTAAAAATAGAAATTTCTTTGAAATTTTTTAAAATGCTACTCGTCCTACAGTTTTAGTCTGATTTCAATATAACTTGGCACACAAGTAGACTACACTAAGATACATAATTCTGTATATCGGTTTTTGATTTCGATGAACGGTGTTGCCGTGGTTACTAAAAATAGAAATTTCTGTGAAATTCTTTCAAAATGCTACTCGTCCTACAGTTTTAGTCTGATTTCAATATAACTTGGCACACAAGTAGACTACACTAAGATACATAATTCTGTATATCGGTTTTTGATTTCGATGAACGGTGTTGCCGTGGTTACTAAAAATAGAAATTTCTGTGAAATTCTTTCAAAATGCTACTCGTCCTACAGTTTTAGTCTGATTTCAATATAACTTGGCACACAAGTAGACTACACTAAGATACACAATTCTGTGTATCGGTTTTTGATTTCGATGAACGGTGTTGCCATGGTTACTAAAAATAGAAATTTCTGTGAAATTCTTTCAAAATGCTACTCCTTGTACAGTTTTAGTCTGATTTCAATATAACTTGGCACACAAGTAGACTACACTAAGATACAGAATTCTTTGTATCGGGTTTTTGATTTTGATGAACGGTGTTGCCGTGGTTACTAAAAATAGAAATTTCTGTGAAATTCTTTCAAAATGCTACTCCTCCTACAGTTTTAGTCTGATTTCAATATAACTTGGCACACAAGTAGACTACACTAAGATACACAATTCTATATATCGGTTTTTGATTTCGATGAACGGTGTTGCCGTGGTTACTAAAAATAGAAATTTCTGTGAAATTCTTTCAAAATGCTACTCCAAATACAATTTTAGTCTGATTATAATATAAATGTGGCATGCAAGTAGACTGCACTAAGAACATATAGAGACTTAATCAAGGATCATTATTCTATTTATTGCTGTTGAAAAGTTTCAATTTCCAACTGCTTAAGTACTTTTCTCTTTCTTTGCTATAAGTACAAACCAGTAGAGCTTCAGTCTCGACAGAGACTTCTGGTTCTATTTATTGCTGATTTAAAGTCTCAAGTCCCAACTGCTACTTTTCTCTTCCTTTGTTTTAAGTATAAACCAGTAGAGCTACAGTCTCGACAGAGACTTCTGGTAAAGGGAGGAATAGATCAGACTGTCAAGTTATTATCAATTTTAATCATAACATTTGCATAGCATACTCTTTATCGGTAACAATAATTTTGCCTAGTTGTCCGGTTTTCATCGATATCGCGTAGTTGGCATGGATATATGTCTATCGCATACACGTGTTCATCGTATTCCCCATTTTCAAAAGGTGAGTTATTTCCCCTGAAGGGAACTCTTTTACTGTGTTTAATACGCATGCGCTGTAAATAAAGTCACTTCCGCGGACGTTCTTGATGTAAACATGTTTATGGTGATATGCCTCAGTCATATGGAAAAATGTTATTATGTTTGTGAATAAAAAGATATCTTAACTGATTTGTATTTTTTTTAAATTGCCCACTCATAGTCTCTTTCTGGATTTGTATTAATCTGTGTAGTACTATAATAAGTAGCCTGGTTCCCGAGGCCTTCCGATTGTGCAAGCAGGCTTCTGTGCTTGCACAACCGGAATGCCTCGGGAACCAGGCTATATAATAAGGTGCTGTGTGACCCCCCCCCCCCCTTACAAAAAAAAAAACGAAACAAATTACTGATAAAATGCTGATACACATTCGAATAGGCCTATTTAAAAAAAAAAGAAAAAAAAAAGCTAATAAGCTAATTTTCGGTAGTGGATGTTCTGCAGACGGATCATCATTATTTATTTGACTATATGCCAATGTATGATGGTGTTGTCAATAAAATGAATTGAATTGATTTACAAAATGTGCGGAACAAATTTTTAGTTATAAATTTTTACGAATTAATCTAGCATGCTGCAGCCATATTTTCTTTGTATCTCTAAAAAATTTTTGGAGACTAATGACATGTCCATCTACAGTTTTACCTCTGAAATTGCGGCATATACAGCAGTAGTTCGTCTTCCGCGACCGATACCAAGAAACTGCGATTTTGCTCGATTGTATGTCATAACATAGAACTTTTACTTACAAGAACATATTTGGTGACAATTAAAGGCCTATTTCATTTGAATAAACAGTGTTTCTAGAATTTTTTATTTGTAAAATAATTGATTCACTATATAGTATTAAAACTTTGAATGGAATTCTAAATGAATAATTTAATCGCATGTCCTCATGTAACGAAGAAAGACTAATTAAAATAGCATTGACCTGAATTCGTGTTACATATGTCGTATAAAGTCTGAGCTGCATTTAATAAAAGTTTTAGTGTAGGATCTAAGCATATGTACATGTATATTCCCGAGTAAAATACACATTTTGTTTAAGATCAGAGAAATGAGAGCAGAAAGACGAAATTGATACAATAATTTCCTAGAGTATTTCTCGTTAATTAACGGAAAACATTCTTTTCTCAAGTGTTATTTATTTTTTTAAATCCTTTCAGTGTAAGTACATGTATTTATTTTTATAAGTTTTTTTTTTTTTTTTTTGCAAAGTTTGTAAAAAACAATATCACAGAGAGAGAGAGAGAGAGAGAGAAAGAAGAGAGAGAGAGACTCATGTAACCCCGTGTAACTGACATACATGCATGTGCATCTGTGAAAAAATACATGTACCGTAATTTCATTGAATTCACAATTAACAATTCTTATAATTTTTAATTTTCACAACTATGGTTCATATTCAACTGTTCAACCCATTTTCATATGTGTATATATCTCTGTACCTGTACGCACGGGGGGGGGGGGGGGGGGGGGGGGTCAAGGGGCTTAGCCTCACCCCCACTTTTTTCCCAATACTACTTTTTCTATTGAAAATGTTCATTGATAGATAGGTTGCCACCCCCCCCCCCCCCCCCACGCACACACAGTTAATACTACGGTAAAGTTATATAAGGTAAATGTAGTATTGTATGCCAAGAAACTGGTACTGAAATAAGTAGCTTTTTCAACTTTGGGCAAGGTTTTTCTTTGTTTCTTTGCTTCTCAACTTTTCCAGGTAAGAAATAAATATTTCTTTGGCTACCCCCCCCCCCCCCACATTTAAAGACGATGCTACGTGCCTGCCTAATTCGTATAGCTTTCTTGACAGGGGGGGGGGGGGCTAGGAGACCCTTTACAAAATAATTTATTATCTAAAAAAAATGCAAACCGTTTTCTTATTTTAAAATTTTTAAATACAGCGTGTAAGTTGATCACTATTTTGCGTAGTCCGCGGAAGTTAGGCTGGTGTAGAAGAGTTCCGATTTTGAGGGGAGATAACTCACTTTTGAAAATGGGGAATAGACTACTTGTAGTTAAAAAATATCGCGGGTTTCATGAGCGTTAAATACAATGTTATAAACACTTTAAAAGGACATCGTAAGGAAACGTGTAAAACGTCGAGAAAAGTGAATTTAGACGAATGCTTTTTCACCATAACTTACCACGCAAACCAGAAACTGGACGATTTTGTAATAAACACTCAGAAAATAATTATCATGTTAAAAATATTCTCATCCGAAAACATTTTCATACCAGCTCTAAAAATTGAAAATCTGCCGTATTTATATCAAATTTCTACATACAAGTTAGACTTTTGGAATAGCTATCTCGTATTGTCCGATTTTTAATCCCACTTAGAATTTATTCTAACCTTTCAAGTCGTGTTTGTTCGCGGTGGAATTATCATTTGTGCTGTTTCATTCCTAAATATGCATAAAGTTTACAAAAAAATTGTTATAAAAAATCTTTTGGGCAGAAAACTTTAAAACCAATTGTCTTATTTATTTTCTGATGAGTTTGTCTAAATGTCGTTATCTGATTGGTCAGGAGGATTAGCACCTTGTTTATTCTGTGTATTTATAGCAGTTCACGGTTATCGTTCTTGACTTCCATATTTGGAAATCGTCCAGACCTGTATAAAGATTTACAAGATAGCATCGAAGAATGCATGTACATAATAACAACGAATATCGATTTTTCAAATAAATGTCTGCTCTAACACATCAAAAATATGATTATTAAAGAATTAAAAATATAGAAATCATTGATAATAGGGGTAAAATTTCGGCCACTGTTTGACCAGCTGCACTGTGTCCGTCAACAACATTGGGACGTCCTACGCTGTTTGTGGTGGACATTGAAGCTGGTGGAGTTGTGGCTCTGCATCCACCAGGGGGACATTGCGGGCAGTCTGGGGGTCTGTCAGAGTTTTCTGGGGCACATTCAGGGCGATGTCCTCCGCCTCCGCCACCGGGGCCTGAGTTAACACAGTGACAAAGATAGTAGTCGTATCCATAGTTTTCCATGTTCCAGTCTTAATATAACAAAATTATGTTTCCAAGTAAAGCAAATTAAAAATAGAAATAAGAAATGAACATTTACATAAAAGCATGTTTTCCCTGCTTATAATAAGCAAACTGAATTGAATGGGAAAATTGAAAATTAATAATTTTGAAAAGAATGAGGCGATATTTAGTGGAATTTGGCAAGAAACTGGGCGCACTTGAAACGTTTTATGTATCCGTCACATTTGCTATTTCAGGTTCATATTGAATTATACAAAGGTGATTACTTTCCAAATATTGTTTTTATCTGCTAAAAGTTTAGTATAAATATTACTTAAATGAGTAATTTTGTACAAAATATTGAAATTAGTTTGCCTAAGCTGATTTTTAAAATGTTAAGTATACATGATTCCTGCAAATCAACGACAAATAACGCGCATTTCCCGGTACATGTAAACTCTAAAGATAAATTAAAAACACTTACGTGATGTATTTGTGGTACAATTGTAAGAAGTAATAGTTCCCTGATTAACAACACGTCCTTTGAAACAACCCAAATAATATGGAAACTTCTCAGTTACGTAATATCTATAGCTCCCATTGACAAATTTCCCATGACATTTGTCCAGTTCAGCTTCGGAAATGTTCTTTGACTGTCCAACCCTCGGTCCATAGATAGGAAAGCCATCAAGCGCCACTCCAATGAATTCGTCGATTTCCCCTCTGTACAGACAACTGTCGGGTATTTTATGGTAATGATAAGCACCATTAGGACTTGCGTGTCCATCACATTGATCGAACGTTTCGGGATTCGTTCCCTCCACAGCATTTGTTAACTCCCCTGCCAATGGATTGTAGATGGCGACACCAGTTCGTGTAATCCCAATCATTCCCAGCCCGACACATCCGGGCACATCTACAATCTCGGGATTTTTCAGAATTGAAATGTTGTAGTTCTGAGCTGTGGGAGTGTTTGGATTGACTCTCTGTGTTGCATGATCAGGAAGACCACTCGCCGAAATGAAAAATCTACAAGTTGTGTTTTACTTTGTTAATATGACAAACTTTTATTCTTCTCTATGTATTAAACACCATAATTTGGAAATGATTGACTCACTAAAAGTTAGATTTATTGTTTTCCGACATATCTTTTTACAGGGTTTAGAAAAAATGCAGTATCTTTGGATCAGAGTAGGATCTAACAGAAGAAGAGTTAGGAAACATTTTTTGAAAAGATTCCATTCATTCTGAGTTCAAGGTTTTAAATATGCGACAGGTAAAATGATACGATATATGCATGAGTAATTTTTAACATTTAAACGTGATATTGCTAAGTTTTTCGAATATCTTATTTATTTAGTATCCTTTTAAAAACAATTTTGTATTTTCTATGTAAATATAAAGTAAATATGACATTTGTTCATGAAGAAAAGGCTTGTTGTATGAGAAAAAGGGCTCATATAGAGACTTACACTTTCGAGTCATCGGTGTGAACTCTTACGGATGCCCCATACTTTGAACTTGCTGTGAATTTTGAGATTTCTTCTCTTGTCAGTCCATGCACTGTAAGAAATATAAGAAAACATCCTACAATTAAATCAGGAACCTGTCCAGGAGAATATACATATCATATAAAGAAACTAATTTTTCATCTCTTACAAAAGAAGCGTTACCACGGAATGGTTGATTGATAAACAAACTAATTTAGATAATCCGTTCCCCACTGAAGGTTTAAAGAAGAGAATGTAGTGACCCGGCCGCGGGAAGAGGGCACTTAAAGAAGGGCGGGAGGGGCATATAGAGAGTTATGGTCTAAAAATTTAATTGAAAAAAACTCGAAAGCTTCTTGAGACATTGCTTACTCCAAGCAAAGAATGTATAAATTACTTCTGACCTCAAATTCATTAAGGATCTTCCTTTTACCATAAGAAGTTGTGGTTTAAATTGTCATTCAAAAGATCAAGCACTTCTCGAGATATCGAGCGGAAACGAAAGTTAAAATAGGCAGAATTTAAAAAAAAAATTTTTACCTTGACCTTTAACCATTTGACCTCAAAATCAAGCGAGTCTTTCTTAGGCCATAGGAATTTGCGTTATAAAATGTCATTGCGCAAGTTTAAACGCTTCTCGAGGTTTAGCGCGTAAACGAAAGTGTTAAAACGGACAGAATTTTTGAATTTATGACCTTGACCATCGTTCTTTTGACCTCAAAATCAATAGGGGTCTTCCAAGGTCATAGGAAGTTTTTTTTTAAATTTCATTGCAAAAGCTCAAAGGCTTCTCAAGATCTCGCGTGGATACGAAAGCGTTATAGGCAGACAGAAATACAGACGGATGGCAAGACTGAAATCAACATCCCCCACTTTCAGCGGGTGACAAAAAGTTTCTGTATTTAAAAGTTATTTAAACTTTTTTATGAGGTCGGAAATATGAATAAATCTTCATCATATTTTCTCATAAACCAGCAATAATGATTTAATAATAGCTACCTCACAAGGCAATCCTTGCAAATTTTCTTGATTGTTTTTTTTATTTGTTGAAATTCTTGTCAACAAAAATACAGTTTGACATTGGGTCAAATGCTGACTGGCGTTTTTGATGCTACATATAATTGTTAGAGCATTATATGCACACTAAATTGTCGACGGATTTTTTCCCCGTTATTTCCCGATCATGACAAGAGCACACGGCGGGTATGACCACTCATCCACATCACCTGTTCCTACCTCTGATGTGTTAGCTCGAGGTCCATGTTTGCTTTGCTCCAAAGTTTGAATTGTTAAATGGGATTTTTAGCTTCAAAACTGGTCTTTATCTAAATATATTTCATTTACACATGTAGAATATATTAAGATATTCAAGTGAATAAATAGTTTTCATAAACCTGATGTGTGTAACTATATGTAACTTGTGTGTGAAACTTGAATTAAACAAAAAAGGAAAAAAAATGTACATGGTGTAGTTCCGTTTGAGTTAGAAGTGGTGACATTCTCCATTGGCGGATGGGTAGCAGTGTCCATTGTTGTTGACCTGCATCCCTCGGGAGGACACTGCGGGCAGTTTGGGGGTCTGTCAGGGTTTTCTGGGGCACATTCCGGGCGAGGTCCTCCGCCTCCTCCACCGGGGCCTGAGTTCACACAGTGGCATAGATAGTAATCGTATCCATAATCTTCCATGTTCCAGTCTACCAAGAAAATAAAACAATGATCTGTTTCTTACAAATAAAAGAAAAAAGCCTTGCGCAACCAGAAAATTTTGCCTGTTAAAATAATGAAATTTACCAGAGGGATGCAAAAATCTGGAAAAAATAATACTTATATATCCACAATTATGGTCGTTATAACAAACTTACGTGATGTGTTCGAGGTACAATTGTTAGAAGTTATTGTCCTTGGATTAACAACACGTCCTTTGAAACAACCCAAATAATATGGAAACTTCTCGGTTACATAATATCTATAGCTCCCGTTGACAAATTTCCCATGGCACTTGTCCAGTTCAGCTTCGGAGATGTTCTTTGACTGTCCAACCCTCGGTCCATAGATAGGAAAGCCATCAAGCGCCACTCCAATGAATTCGTCGATTTCCCCTCTATACAGACAACTGTCGGGTATTTTATGGTAATGATAAGCACCATTAGGACTCGCGTGTCCATCACACTGATCGAACGTTTCGGGATTCGTTCCCTCCACAGCATTTGTTAACTCCCCTGCCAATGGATTGTAGATGGCGACACCAGTTCGTGTAATCCCAATCATTCCCAGCCCGACACATCCGGGCACATCTACAATCTCGGGATTTTTCAGAATTGAAATGTTGTAGTTCTGAGCTGTGGGAGTGTTTGGATTGACTCTCTGTGTTTCATGATCAGGAAGGCCACTCGCCGAAATGAAAAATCTGCATTAGGAATTTCATGTATTTATATGAATTAAAATTTCCAAAAAGAGAAAATCTGTCTCCTTTTTAGCATCACAAATGCTGGCATAATAAGCTTTTTTTTACAGATCTTAAGAGCATTTAAAATTCAACATTTATTTGGTTATTACACTTTTGGGTCATCAGTGTGAACTCTGACCGATGCTCCGTACTCCGAACTCGCCGAAAATTTTGAAATCTCCTCTGATGTCAATCCACTGACTGAATAAAAATTAGAAAAAAAAAATCTTTATATAACACAACACTAACGTAAATTTATAACATACAGTCTGGAATGGTAAACAAATGTATACAAGTGAGGATAATGTAAATGTCGCTATATATATGTATGATTTATCATGTTTATTGTCATTCGTTACATCGTATCACCCATTCGATTACTTATCCTTGTCTTTCTACTCAAATATACCACAGCCATTATGTATGTTTTAATGTTATAGATTAAATGTAAAAAAAAAAGTAAATATGTACAAATTCAACACGCAATTAGATGGTAAAGAACCTACATTGTGTTTTTTCTGTTGAGGTAGATGTAACATCCTCTGTAAGAGTACGTGTAGCTATATCCATCGTAGAGGACCTGCATCCCTCTGGTGGACACACAGGGCAGTCAGGGGGTCGATTAGGATAATCAGGAGCACATTCAGGACGTGGTTGACATTGGACAGGTCGGTACCAGTATATTATTAGTGCAACAAGAGATAAGAAGCTTCTCATGGTTCCTTTACTTCCTTGCAGATCGTGGTAACCTAAATGATGGTAATTCAAAGTGGCAAATGATATATTCACTTAAATGGCGCTAAAAGTTAGGATATTTTTTTTTTATTATTTGCCATTTTTTTCTGTATCTTATAATTAAAGGATGTATTCGCTTTGACAAAAGAATTGACCTATAGGAGAGAACAATTTCCCGGAAAAAGTGACATTTAAATATTAAACTTCATTTGTTGTTTTCTACCGTATACATGTCTAAATTTATCAAATTTGTATTTTATACCTAAAAATTATTATTTACAACTTTGCAATAAATCTCCAAAGTTGGCTGAAACACCATTTTGTCCGATAAAGCATTGATTTTTGCATGAATTTTGGCCGAGAAGTCCTTCAGAGCAGGCCTGCCCCTAAATAAAATTGTGATATTTTGATAGGTTATGATGTAAGGAATGATTTAAGATAGGATTTTTTTAGGGGCACCCCTGCCCTAGGGTCGAAATTCACAAAAAACCTACAAAAAATAAGGAAACCTGATTTCGAAAATCTGCTTCAAATTTTTACAGCCTATATGTATAGACGGACTAGCTCAGTTGATATATGAGTTGGTTTTACACCGTGAAATGTTTCTTTTTAAAGTCGCGGGTTCGAATCCACCTGGCACCACATTTTTCACCTTTTCAAAGACTATTTTAATTTTTTGAAATAGACTTGTGTATTTTCCTTCAATGATTAATCCCTTACGTATGCCCATTCTTGATACAAGAAAAACTAAAAAGATGTCAAATCGTACTAAGTATTATTTAGAGAACGAGACGGGTTCTGTATCGTAGATACAAATTTTGGGGTGGAGACGAGTGCGCGAGCACGAGTCTCCACCCCCAAATTTGTATCTACGATACAGAACCTGTCGAGTTCTCTAAATCATTTGTGACACGATCAATCAAAAATAGCTCCGCCCACTTTCTAACTTTGCAGCATCCAAACTTCCGCCAGAGTTCTGTATATGAGGCCCCGACGGGGAGTGCGCATCCGCAGTATATATATTTCCACGGAAAACGTAAAATTCGGTCAGATTAGTTTTGACAATTTAACGGGGTAGACGTGATCGAGTGATAGTCAGTCTTAATGGATAAGATGGAGGATTTAACCGTCATTGTTGTGATCTATTAAATTGAAGATGGAGATTTATCATAAATTTATTTCAGTGAGGGGTCTTAAAATCCCGTTTATCTAGATTAACAAAAGCAGGATTTACAGAAAATTCTTCGATGGACTTTAATGTCACGGATTTTTATTTTCAAATTGAATTGCGACATTAAGAGACGTGTGGCTGTCGTCAGCGAGAAGGATTTTAAAAAATAAAAACGCGGAAGAAATGGACTTGAATGATTTTGCACGAGGAGAGTGGATGTTTTCCGTTATTGCGAATTTTCCGTTTCGTTTGGAGCGAAATTACGTACAGAGGATGTTTTCCGTTATTGCGAATTTTCCTTTTACTTTGGATCGAAATTACGTGTAGATTCTGTGTGGAATAAGTTTTTAAAAAGTGATTGAGAAATTTTGACATTTTACATTCTCAGGAAATTACCGGGTATTTCTCTAAAATTTATAATAGGAAAACATCAGCATTCACTATTTGTACGTGCTTTTGCTAAATTGAATCAGATTTATTTTTAGACCGTGCTGTATTTTAGATACAGAATAGTTGGCAAATACAATGCTGTATACCATGTATACAGGGCTAATACAGAACGGAAAGTAGCTCCGCCCACCACAGTCCCGTTCTGTATTGCTAATACAGAACAGTAAACTTCAAAGAAAAACACCGCTATCGTGTCACAATCAAATGTACAGTTGTCAGTCAGGCGGAACAAACCTCAGTATAAGCACACTTTCTCCGAGGACAAGAATAACTCACTCTGTGTTATTTGATACAGGTATTCTTTGCAGCATTGAGCTGCGACGAATTTCAATTGTATATATTCCTTAGAATTTAATCACATTGATTTTGGCTACATATATCAGTAACTGTACTCCCTTAGATTTCATTTAGGCCTATATCATTTGCACACATTAATGACATGTTTTATTATATCCACGGATAAATAGCCTAGACACAAAAAATAGAATTTCAGAGACAGTAGACATTACCATTATGCACAGTGAGAAGTAAAGACAAACATCAATTATTACGTTTGGAGATAACGAACTCAGAAAATCAATGAAAGGGTTTCCTCTACCTCTACTCACTGAAATAAAGATTTAGGAGAAAACAAATTGTTATATGTATTCGGCCTCATGTCATTAATCGGAACGGAAGTGGACAAGCTTTTTGTAGAGAATAAAACCAAGCCCGGTCCTATAGGTCAGATCCCTATTTATAATGAAGTGATCCTTTTGAATAAATGACAAGCAGTACAATTCATGAATGAAAAATTCAATTTGAGTTACTGGTAAATAATTTTCAAAAGATAAAAGGCGTTAATCAGTGAAATACAGGATTTTTCTGATTCAAGACTATGATATTTATTTATTCAAGTGTAAAGCACATTTTAAAGATGATCCCAACTCAAAAACAAGAACTGTTTATGAAACACTGATGCTCCTTTATGATGATTATGACAAAGTTTAAAGTTTTCTCAAATGCAAATGAAACAACAAGGTCAAAAATTCAAAAATGTTATTACTCTAACAAAGATTATAGTGTATAACTGTGAAAAAGTCCAAGCACCAAGAACCCATTCAAAAGTTATTACCAAGAATCAAGTTTCTTTTAAAGAGGGAAAAAAATCAAAGGTCAAGGTGTAGAATTAATTTTTAAAATATAGTCTTGTCCCACAGAAGAAACGACCACTGGGATTTTTTTTGTATTATTTAGGTAACACTAAATCAAAGTCAATTGGTCTAAAACATTTATACTCATGGAAAAGTAAAATAAGTACAAATATAAAATATCAAAGCCCTAGCACCAACTGTTCAAAAAATGGGCCAAACTCTAAGGTAAAAAGTTCAAAATGTTGGTATCCAAAGAAAGGTCTTGTCATAAGAAATACTCGTGTGAAATACAAAATACCGGTACCTATTTTTAACTTATCAAGTTATGGACAAGGTAAATGCTTTTGCGGACAAACAGACAGATAGAAAGACAGACGGACGAGCGGAGCAAAATTTATAAACAGCACTCCAGATTTTTCGATTACTGGGAGTTGCCCGTGTGGCACAGTCACTGCACGAAAAGTCACCTTTTATAATATTTAATAGTTTACAAAATGTTTACAAAAGATGAACCTTTATCTTTCATCACCTTTTTCACATCAAAAGGTTGACTTTCACCTTTAGGTGAACAAAATTTCATCTTTTTTCATCTTCTGTACTATTAAAAGTTGATCATTCACCTTTTTTCTGAAAAGTTGATTATATATCATCTTTCCATCTTTTACAATTGTTAAAGTTCATCTTTTTTAATCTTATGAAATAATAAAAGTTCACCATTCACCTTTTTTCACTGAAAAGTTAAATGTACATCTTTTCTTTTTTAACAAAAATAATTACTTTTCATATCAAAGTATCATTACTAACCTTTTTTAATTGAATAAAAAAAAAATCTGTTGTTACTTTTTTGTCAAATGACAAATTTATAGATAAAATCAAGGTATACTGCAAAATATTTACATCATGTAATCATTTAAACATAGAAAGCTTAATGGACACAAAAGCACCTTAAACTTTACAAATCACTTTTGCTTAAAGCAGTGTTAAATACATTTAACACATATTTCTCTTTTAGACATAATGAATCTTAGCATAAAAAATATGCAAACAAGACAAAAATTTCTGCTGGTACAATTTTGAAAGATTGTCACGACAAAAGCTCTTCATCTGCATACCAAGGTGTTATACCATTTTCTGTAAGACAAAAATTGAAATAAGAATTTAATTACTCATGACTTGAAACAAAATATTTTTATATAACCATGACAAATTAAGAATATTTCAGTCAATATATTTTAATTCTGAGTTAGGATTCTACTTCAAATTCATAAATGGATATGATATAATAAAGGTAAATTAAAGAAACTCTGACAGCATGTTCGGTTAAATACTGTTATTCACCTCTCCAAAACATCCTAGCTAGAGGATTATTTGAACTGAAAACACCTCTTCACAGTAAACTGGCGAGGATGTTGATTTACAAAGTAGTCATTAATGAGTTTTCACATAATAAAAAGTAATTTTTTAACAAATAATTTTTTGGGGGTCACCTCTCCATATCTGCCCAGCTAGAGGATCATTTCAACTGAAAACACCTCTCCATGGCAAACTGGCATGAGGATTCCATCACTGCATATAAATCCCTTTATTTAAGACATTTTTATTTATATATCATATTAGATAGTTTATAAGTAAATGTAGTTTAACAAAAAAATCTGTGTCTTGGTCACCTCTCCATATCTGCCCGGCTAGAGGATCATTTCAACTGAAAACACCTCTCCATGGCAAACTGGCATGAGGATTCCATCACTGCATGTAAATCCCTTTATTTAAGACATTATTGTTATACATCATAGATGAGTCTTTTTAATTTAAAAATATTGTTTATATATATACCATTCACTCTTTTTTTAGCACGGTGTATTCCTTGAAGCGGACATAGAGAGGATTGGATGTGAATGTTATTAAGTTTTTGTTTTTTTAATTACTCCTTGCAGTAGATGTGGTTTCTGATGGTGTTGGTGATCATGGTTCAGTTGATGAAGAATGTAATGTAGTGTTGTGAGACATGATAATGCAGTGCAAAGACATGTGATTTTTTGTACTTGCTTTTCTCAACTGTTTTTTTTTTCTCTGTTTTCATCACGTCTCCTATGGCAGTATTTCTTCCTTGCTTCAATTCCATGTTTGCCCAAATTACCTTATAAAAATAAATTTGTACATGTTTATCAATTATGTGTTTCACAAAAATATATACTTATGTTGATATAATATAATCTCTTCTAATTGCAATGTATGTCAATGTGTACAGCTGAA